GGGAGTGGAAATTTGTCTGCTAGTAATTTTTTATTTATTTGGCGGTAGTCCACTACTAACCTCCATCTTTTCGTGTTTGAATTGGGTAAAGATTTTTTCTGCACTAGTAAAAGTGGGCTATTGTATTCGGACTGGGATGGTTCCACTAAACCGTCGTCTACTAATTTTTGGACTTGTTTCTTAATTTCGTCCTTATACGCATATGGGGTTCTATAATTCTTAATATATATTGGTTCATCATCTTTAAGTCTTATTTTTTGTTTATAAAAATTATTTGTTGTTATTGGTTCTGATTCGAGTCCAAAGACATCACTGTAACTATTGCATATCTTAGTTAATTGTGCTTGAAATTGTTTAGGAAAATTTTTACTAAGTAATGAGAGTACTTCACTTTTTCGGTTTTCTTGAATTTTATTATGGTTTGTTATTTGGTAATTGGAAAGACTTTCTGTCTGAATACTATTGAGACTAAGTGTTTTATTTGTTGTATTCGTATTTATAATACGAATAAATGGGTTTTTGGTATTAACAATTGTATTGGCAATCAGTATACCTGGTTGCGGTTCCTGATTGACTACTAATACTTGGTTTTCTTCCGAGTCAACGTGTACCTGTCTGATTACTTCAGAACGTGCTGGTAAAATAATTTTGTTCGTATTAGAGTGAAGTATCGGTAAGTGAATGTTCAGACATGGACTATTGGGTCTTAGTATCAACCAATCTTGTTCCTTGTTGAAATCTATTAGACAATTGTACTTTTTTATAAAGTCCATGCCTAAAATTCCATCACAAGGAATAGGGAAATTTTCGTGTACTACATGAAATTCATGTGATACCAGAAATTTACTGACTCTGAGATCTATACATGTTGATCCTAATGACTCTATTGTACCTTGCCCTATACCTGTTATACGTGTGGTGCAAAGTGTATTCAAGGAGTACTCAAAGTTAATTTGTTTTAATAAGGAAATATCAGCACCTGTATCAACTAGAAGTGTTAACAGTTTATTTGTGTTATTGTTATGTACCTGTATAAAGATGCTTAGACTTAGATGAATATTATATACTTTTTTTAGTTGGTTAATTATTGATTTCTCAAGGGGACATTCGGGTTTTCCGGATCCTGATCTTCCCGTGCAATCACTCGCACATACCTGTTTCCAGCATTCCCACCATTATTGTTTTGGTAGTTCCGACGTCTGTAGTTGTTGTTTTGCCAGTTATTGTTATTGTTGGCATATCGATTGTACCTAGGTTGCCTTCCAGTGCCGCGATAATTGCCACGGTAATTTCCACGATAATTACCGCGATTATTGTGCTGAAATGCGCCGTTAGATTGTGATCTGTAATGAAGAATTGTGTCTTCTTTTCCTGTCGCATTTGTGCAGCTTGTGACGAACTTAGTTACTGCATCGCTCATTGTTTTGAACTGACCGGCTTCCATTATCAGTTTAACTTTCTCTAATGAGCAATTCTTAGTCATAGCGTTGACCGCTTGCTCGGTCGAGTATTTTTCTGCTTGTTCCCGAGATAAACCATCTGAAATGTATGCACATTGTAGAGATTTTGTTAAAGATTCTATTTCTTTAACATATTGGTTAGCCGTTTTACTCCTTTGCTGTATGTTCATTAGCTTGGCTGTGAGTACTGATACCGACTCACCTTTAACAGTGGATTTAAGTTTATCTGTTATTTGGCTCAATGATACTTCATTCTCTATCAGACTTCTTGTTGCTCCTTTAAATTTTGTCTTCACAAGGGCTACAGCTGTTGCTTCATGACCATCCTTAAAAGTATCGACGATAGATAGAGCATCTAGAAAACTTTGCAAATTTTCTGGTGTTCCGTCAAAGTCAGGGGTGACTTTGGTCGCCGTGTTTAGGAATTCTACTACTGTCATAGGCATTTTGATTTCAGAGTCTGGGTAATTAGAAGAAGAGTCTGAGTCTATGTTTAATTCTATATTAATAGAAATTTTTTCATTTAATGTTGTGGGTATTTCAATATTGATACCTCTTTTTAAGGTAACTTTGATGGCTTTTTCACGGAGGTCTCCAAAGATTTTCCTCGCTTCCGCTTTGTGTGCGGTTGTGAACCTATCAAAGTGTACGTTTAAAAGTACCCGAATACTTTCTAAACTTTGTAATAATAACGTACAGTGTTTGTGTAGTGTTGTAGCACTAACAGGTCTGTCTATTGCCATACATTTATATGACTTGTTAAACGTTTCTTTTAGGAAGCGTATTTTATTCAATATTGTTTGCCATTCCATCAAACAATATTATTTTTCCAATTGTAAATTAAATTTACGAAAATCTTAACAATTTGGGTGCATAAGTTATATTAAACTATTTAAATTTTACAGATAATTCTATAACATAGCCATTATAAGCTAAAATTCAACTATTATATAAAATTTAATATTAAATTTTCTTATACAACTACAGATTGGGAACTCAAAATTATAGTAAAAATATTCTATATATTTTAAGTATTAATCCAGTAATGAATTTTTAACTAAATGCAGCAAAGAGAAGAGAAAAAAAATTACTAAACTGAAATTGAGCATTTTAAATATTGTCTGTTGAAACTGCACGTTTCATATATTTCCTTTTAATTGAAGCTCTGTACGTTCCTATTAATTTGAGAACAATTTGTCCTATCACTATAACAACAAGAATTAGCAAAAGGAAATTTGTGGTTTTTAAATCGCTTAGATCTGTTTGTACTTCCACTTCATTAACTACATTGGCCTGAGGCCTGTCGAACTTGGCTTTTGTGCCACACATTTCCAAATAATATTAATTAATGAAGATAAAACACATATAACACATAAATATAAATATATATATGAAATATAATTAATGGAAAGCTTATTGTTAACGTTAAAATAAAATTAGTACATTCAAGAATAATAAAAAAAACTTATGTATATAAAAATAATATTTAAAGATTTAAAAGTATTTTTATATATAAAAAATTATCTAACATTTTTTTTAAAGTAATTTCCAGAATATAAAAAAATATTATTGATTTTACAGGTTATTTCAAACTAATAAAATTTTCATTTCTATAAAATATATATTTTTTTTTTTTTAAATTTTTAATCTACTTGCTTGCATTCCCTTATATTTGGCATTATGTAGCAGCTGTTGTATTGCTGTGGTTGATGACTGTGACTTTTCCTTTTTGCGAGTGGGAAAAAAAATTTGTGCACCGTTATTTGTTTTATTTCACACGCTTGTCGATAACTGTTTTTTTTTTTTTTCACAAAATGGTTTTTTATTCCTTGGAATAAATATTTTTATTTTAATTATTAATATTTATATTATTTTTTCAACATTACTTAAAATTTAAAAAGTGCGTCAAATATTTTTTTGTTTTCTTTAAATTTTTATTTTGTTTTCTTTTTGTCACAAGTGTTTTTTTTTTTTTGTTTTTATTTTTTATTTTTATTTTAATGAAAATAAAATATCCATGCTTGACTTTTAATATTAATTCTTGAAATATAAGAATTTTCTAAATAATTTTTAGTCAAATTAAATTTCACTTTAAACTTTAATTAATTTAATTAAATTTTTTTTTTTTTTAATTGTTTAAACTTTAATTTTCTTTAAATTTTTATTTTGTTTTCTTTTTGTCACAAGTGTTTTTTTTGTTTTTATTTTTATTTTTATTTAATGAAAATAAAATATCCATGCTTGACTTTTAATATTAATTCTTGAAATATAAGAATTTTCTAAATAATTTTTAGTCAAATTAAATTTCACTTTAAACTTTAATTAATTTAATTTTTTTTTTTTTAATTGTTTAAACTTTAATTGTTCAGATTTTCTACATTTGAGTTCATTCGTTTGAGAAACCTGTCACGGTCGCCATGTAAGCAAATGAAAGATAACCGTATAGTTTCATGTCTAAATCTTTATTGAAATTGTGTACATCAAAGTTATTATGCTTAACGTCTAAGTACATAGCGACACAGCGCATGTACATAACACTTATACTAATACATGTGCAAAACGTCGCAGCGCAAGCACATGCAGTTTATATTAAGTGTGCATAAACATATTTGACTAGCCAGCACATTCCACGACGCTTATCGCGTGGTGTCTAATTCCCGTTGCATAAATATCGCAAACAAAGTATGGGAATAAACTAAAGATTATTTATGTGCTGTGTCAATATGTTTATGCGCACTACAATAGATACTAAACATAAAATTAATAATTATAATTTTTTATCATAGTAAATTGTTCTTGTAGGATTTTTAAATTGTAAATATAGTTGGGTGCATAATTTAAATTACGGTGTAACACATTTTAAGTAAATTCAAATTTTCCAATCAGATTTTGTAAATCTTGCACAAAAACACACGATTGTTTTCCCTATTGTCCATGAAGTATATTTGACATTGGCACCGATGAACCTACTTTGTGGTGCACTTGGACTTGGATTTTAAACGTTGAATTGAATTGTTGACCATTTGCCGCAGTGTTGTGAATTATTTCTGTTGCTCCGAACGAAGTCATTTGGAAGCATGAAATGAATATGCGCATGGACTGCGCAACAGATCCCGGCTGACGCTTGTTTGAATTTGAACGCATGATAATTGCGTTCTTTGTTCATAGAATCAATCATCACTTTCGAATATGCGGAATATTCAATATCTAAGTCATATTCGAATGCAAGACGAAGAAACGAATTGGATCTAAATGCTTTATGAACTTGTTGACGTAGTCGGTTATTTGCTCTGAGTGTGTTAACTACGAGCCGGCGGGCTTGTCGTTGTTAATTTCGTTCAGCTCGCACCTCTTGTATTTGAGATAAATAAAAATAAAAAAATTTTTCATCCTAATCCTTATAGCGATATGAAATATACTTTACGACCTATTCTTATACCTACCAAATATTCATAAAAAGTTTTATGAAAATCGGTAGAGCCATTTCGGAGGAGTTCAAACACTAACACCGTGACATGAGATAAGTTGATACTAAGCCAAATGGGACTTTATTTGGGATTTTTTACACTGCAAACATTTAGCCACTTAGCCCAAAAAAGTGTGCGAGTTACATTTTGACAGCTTATATCAGCTGTAAATATGTTTTGATTTCAGTATTTCGTTTACATATTTTGCAATAGCGAAGCAAATTGATGAAGCATTTTTATTTATGCAATTTTTCGAATTAATTTAATTAAATAATCGTCGTAAGATATTGATAAAGAAATTCGTAGAAGATTATCCAAAGGTTATAATAAAATAATTTCTGTAAGTAACATAAATGATCAGTTTAACTATTTAGCGTGGGTTCTTATGCAAAAGTAGATATTCTTTCGAAATATTTAAAGCTGTTGTGGAAAAGGATAATTTCATCATAAAAAAAATTGAATTTCCCTCACCAAATGAAGAAACTAATTTAGATATTCTCAAAGTTCATTCGCGTAAAATTAACTTGACCCGCTGCATTAATTTGCTTAAAATAGCTAAACTTATACCGGGAGCTTCTGGTGCAGAAGTTAAAGGCGTTAATATAGGTGCTGGCATGTACGCATTGCGTAAGCGTCGTGCGCATGTTACTCAAGAAGATTTTGAAATGGCTGTCGCTAAAGTTATGCAGATGAATTCAGAGAAGAACATGTCTATTAAGGAATTATGGAAGTAAATTTTAAGACTTTTATACACCGAATATCATGAAATGCTAATTGATTTGTAATTGAATTATTTCTTGGATCTTTACAATTAAGAGCTAAAAACTAAATATAACATTTACGTGTTTTGTATTTGCTAAATTTTTGTGAGAAACGCATAATTATTTTTTTTTTGCTATTTAAAGTGTATTAAAAGCGTTGTATATTAGATTAGGTGTTGGTTTCTAATATTTTGGTCTTATTACTATATATTTTATTACAGTTGTAGATGATTTCAGTTTATATAAAAAATGTTTTGTCTTAAATATTTTTTGAAAACCTTTTGAGTTGCATTTTCGAAATAAAAAATTTCGTAACATCCCACAGTACAGTAAAAATCTGGGGAATTATTGATTTTTTCTCGGACTTCATTAAGTAAGTTTTATAATAACAATCCCTTACATAGTCTTTATGACTGAAAGGGGAATATGTAGATAAATCTTATTAGGGTAAAATACTTATAAGGTATTAGAGCATCAACTAACCATTGCCACTAAAAACTTTAGTGGAAGTTTTGCCGTTCGCAAGAAAAAAGGATCAAGTAGGATCCAATAAATCAAAGGACTTATCTCGGCTTCAACAACAAAATGTTTGCAGCAGTTGCATAAATTAGAGCAATGATTCTCGACTCAAAACATGCTGTAGACCAAAAAAATATTCAATAGGGGTATTCACTCTCTCTTGTAAACTCATTGCAGGGAGCACGAAATGCAAGAATGCTATGCAAAAACTGCAAGACTGCCTTTTAAACTTTTAATTGAAAATAGTGCTTTTAATATTCTGATTGAAGGTATTAACATGTTGTTAATGTAGTTTTCACTACTATATAGTTTCTATTTGTTAGATGATGCAAATTACTGGGAAGTGATGGAGCAATTAAATGAAGACCTTTTGTTTACTTTAGTAAACCATCACAGAAATCACCAACCCGTACCAAAATCTATTCAATGGAGATCTACCATTCTTCAAGAATTTGATGAAGGCCGTTTTTGTCAGATGCTTAGAGTAAATTGGAACGTATTTTCCTTAATAGTTTCACTAATAAACTATTAAGGATTGCTATTGTTTTATATCGTTTGGGTTCATCAGGCGAAAATGCGGCTATTCGTAAAGTCGCTACATTATTTGTTGTTGGAGATATATGTAATAATAATATAATATAAAAATAATTAGTATAATAAAAATATAACTAATTCTTAATTTATTATTGTTATTTGTTATATTTTTTATCGAGGGGGGTAGTGGGGTTTTGCACAGCAGAACGCACGACTTTCGGTGCAGAGCTGGATGATGTGTTGTCTGCAGACGATTCAATAAAAAAAACTTCGTTGCCTAGCGCAGAACTAGTTGGTGGCTATGGCAATGTTTCCGTACAAAATTAGACATGCGTCCAAACACTTCATTCAATAGTTCAAAATGTGAACAAATTTTCGTAAGTTTCGCTGAAATTGATAAATAGATAAATTAATTCACAAATGTATATGTATATAATATTATATTTGTGAAAACTTAATTAATGGTCACATCGATTTAAATTATTGAACGAAACGCATGTATATAGCATAGCCATAGATTAACATATCTCGAAATTTTACTAACAGTCAATTCAAATTTAAAAATGAGAAGCAACAAATGACAAAACAGCTGATTTCCGCCATTTCTGGTTTGTTGCAAGCAAATATACATAGGTTTCAGCATTGGAAGATTGCACGCAATTGCACGAAATTTTGTGCGTGTATTTTGTTGTTGTTATTTGCATTCTCGTACAATCTGTGCATTTCGTGCACCTTGCAATGAGTTTGCAAGAGAGAGTGAATACCCCTAATGTATTTTACAAACAAATTATTGAAAGCAACTAGTGCAAAGAGTAGTACCAATATTTTTAAACAAATAATATCGTTAAGGCAAAAATTCAATATTTTGCAGGCCACCAGTCCTAATGATACCTGTTCATTCATGAACATGAATTATTACGTTATGACCAAAGAAGATAAAGAAAAGAAACTGAGAGTTACTCGAAAAATTGTGTATAAATTTTTCTGGATTATTCAAAAAATATTCAAAAATTTTGTATAATGAGGTGAAAATATTACGCAGACAATAACAAAAAGCCTAATGCTACATGATGGCGCGTGAATATTTTCCCCACCCGGACCCTGCTACTTTGCCCACCCGGTCCCTACTCACCACGATATTTGCTAAAGTAAGAGAGGTTTCTGAGAAATTTCGTTGTTTGTTTTGGTTTTTTGACATTAAAAATCCGTTACGAGAAAATGCGCCAAAGTTGCAATTAAGTGCACAAATACCACATTACTGAAAGAAAAATAAGGCGGAATTTGTTTTCAATTATAAAAGCATTAAAAAAAGGTAATTATTCCAGAAAAATATATGAATTATTAGTTAATTAATATTTATTTACAATTGAAACGGAAGTGCGTACTTGGATGTTTAAATTTCAAACATCTCTATATTTTTCCAAAGGATTATCGAAGGTATATTATTAATTAAAAATAACGCAATTTATTGTTGTAGAATAAAGTAAATATATAAATGTATTAACACATTAGAAACTTAGATGTGTGCCTAATTAGTGTATATAATAAACTACGAATTAAGTTGTTCTTTTATTTTTTATTTTTTCCATGATATACTAATAATTATAAAAAAGGAAAAATCCTGAAGAGAAATTAATATTATTAATTATACTTTTATTGAGTGTTGTTATTATATATACATATATTGAAAAATTAGAATCACAATTTTCGGATCAGTTCGATAGCAGTTGCTATAAATTAGGTTTAGCGCAACATTTATTTAATAAATTAGAAAACGTTCATCCCTATATATGTTGCTCTAATTGCAAAATTGAAACTTTTCTATCTTTTTTCATTAAAGTAAGAACTTACTTCATTTTAAAATATTTCAATCGAGATAATAAAGTGTCGAATTTTAAATATAAACAATTATGCTTTCAACACTTATAAACAGCACAAAAGTGTTCATATTCTTTAAGTGATTTTTTGCTTAAACAAAAAATATTTTAGTTTTAATTTTATAATTTATTAAATTTATTTATAATTTATCTTTAATTTAATAGTTCCTTATTATTTTTGGTTTAATATTAAATATTTTTAAAATAGTAATATTATTTTGTATATATTAAGTTATTCTAAATTGTATTTACATAAAATTGTATATTTGTTAAATAAAATATTATGGTGGATAGGCCTATTGGGGAACCGAACACCTAAAACTCGGTAACACGCCAGCAAGCATACCTCTTAGGTGGTGTGGAAAATGCTTATATATTTAACATTTCTTCTAACATTATGCGATGAAGTTGATTCTTATTGTTTACAATGTTGTTATTAACTAGTTAAGAATTTCTTGAATTTCATATACAAAAAACATTTCATCTTACTGAAAGGATTGCTTAAAACTACAAAAAATATGTAGTAGTAAACAGTATATACATTTTTACGATTTTCTATATTGAAAAAATTTGATGCACAAGCAAAAATTGTATTACAATATACCAAACTTTTTTTGAATTTTAAAAAATTATATTAATATTAATCTTTTTAAAACAAAATATTAAAACAATGCAACCTAATACTCGAAATGTTTGAACACATACTAACTGTTCTATTAGATGCTCAGCATATATATAAATATAGTACGTATATGTGCAACATGATTAAAAGAACTTTTATTTTAATAAATGCGATACAATTTTTTTAACTTTATTAAAACAATTTCATGACTAATTATATATACATATTTACATATATCAATAATAGCTACTTTATATTTACTATTGATTTTAGTTTACCAATTCTTCATTTATATTTGATTCATATAGCGCATTTAAAACTTTTATGTAAATTGAAGTAAAACTGATATAAAAAATCATGCCTATATTTACGTATTATAATCGTATTAATATATAAAATGGATTTTCCAAGAACAATAATTTATACTATTTCTTCTAATTAGAAGAAATGGCTACATGCTAATATGCAACCACAAATGTAGTAAATATTTAAGTTATAAGCCACACCGTTTTTAATATTTGACAATTCTGGTATGGTAAATAAGTAAAAGAGATTTCTTTGCGATATTACACAAAGAGGCACCATTATTCAAAATTTCCTCTCAGTTTCTTTTCTTTATCTTCTTTGGTTATTTTATTGCATAAAAGTATTTTATTAAAAATAAAATTGTTGAATTAAATTAATAATAAATTAAATAATATTAAAAGTCTTTAAACTATTCATACATTTGAATATGAATATTTTAATATACAAATATAATTTACATACTCCACTCTTTTTACCACCAAAAAATTGTTTACAATTTTTGTTTTTTTTTATATTTCTTATTGGATTTTTCACATATTTAACAAACACAAATTAACACATAGCACAACTTTATTAAAATATATTAAATATATACTCACATATATTTTTGCTTTACTAATTTGTATTTATACACATCAAAACAAACAAATCACATTAAACACAAAACATATATTTTAAATCCACAATTAATAAATTATTGTTTTTTTACCTTCTTTCGTCATTTTTAGGAAATTCATACATTCCCTTAAATAACTTACATCCCATCACGCAATTTCGCACCATCTTCAAATATTAATAATAATATATAATAATTTACTATAATAACAATTATAATAAATATAATTATTTTTTCAAAGAAACTTATTCACTACTTTTTATAACTCAGTTTGATTTGACTACGTTTTTCAGTTTTTGGCGCATTTCTCCTGTCAAAATAACTAAACAAAACCCAATTTGCGCTCTTCATATTGCTCTTTCGTAATAAAAAAAATTAAGACCGTTCGTGGTGGTGAAACGTTCCGTTCGGGGTGGTGAAACTTTTCAGTCGTGGTGAGTCGAATTGCAACAACAAAACAACGTGCTTGGTTTGGTAGTAGTAAATTATTTTGAGAGGGTATTGGTTGGTTTTTTTTGTTTACATTTAAGTTGCCGTTCTTGTACAAGTATTCTTTGCTCCAGTTTAATGTTCTTCTGAAGTCAGCTGTAATGATATACAGCTTTTTAAAATTCGCATTTAATAGCCAAATAAATTAATTATGCGTTTCTCACAAAAAATAACCAAATACAAATACGTAAATGTTCTAAGTTTTTTATTTTTAATTATGAAGATCCAAGAAATGGTAATATAATTACAAATTAATAATCATTTTATGATACTCGTTTCATAAATATATAAAAGTTTTAAAATTTACTTTCATAATTTTTTAATAGACATATTCTTCTCTGAATCCTTAGCCTAATATGGCGTTTACATTGGCCGAAAATGGCTCATTTTGAATGACCCATTTGAAAGTGTTTACATTCGTTGTAATTCGTTTGTTTTCATTTTAAACAGCTGATTTTGCAACTTGCTTGTTGATTTGATTTTTGGTCTGTGCCAAAAAAATATTGCATGAAGGTTAAATATGCTATCAAACCTTACAATATAAACTTAAAACATATTTTTAACTTCGATTAATTACTTTTTGGGAAGTTAAAGTTCTAAAAAAAATTGCATCGTTTTCAAGAAAATGCAACCACCAAACATTTGTTTACCTTTTTTTGTAAATATGTCAAAAACAGCTTTCTCAAACTGTCAAAATGCCATGAAAAGCTTTTATTTATTCTAGTTTTTTATTTTGATAATATTATTGATGCATCAAGCGTAATAAAAAATCGACGTTAGCTTTTCTTTTGCAATTCTATGGACTTACTAATAACTTTTCAACTGTACATTGTGCTTTTTCAGTGCCATTTCAATTTTTCAGCGAATTTAATTAATAGATGGAATGCTATCTATTAACAAACTTTGTACAAAATTTTTGAATAATAATAATAATAGTTTTAAATTAATATAATTAAACTAACTTCGAATGTTTTCAAATAAGTGTGGTTATACAAAGTTTTTTTATATGCTAACTGTCTTCTGACTTCGGCTATATGCTTTCTATAAGAAAAATGTCTTTTTTAAAAGAAAATCAATTTCTGAACTTTGACACTCAATAACTTTTTAGTTAATCCATCAAGTTATAGATATGAAAACATGAAATGAAAGCTTGAAGTGTCCTCTTTCAATTAAGGTAATTTGCAGAAAAGTGGTACCTCTGCTTTTAAAGATATAATTAATTTTATAATGTGACCTATTTTTACAAAATTTTGTTCGAAGTCAATCGAACAACTTATACAAAACTTCGCATCATATGAAATTTTATTCTCTTTCAAATGAGCCATAAAAGAAAAAAATATTGTCTCTAGTTTAAAAGTTATTAATAAATTAGTGACCCCATTTATTGGGGTTGGTTTTTATTTTTCATATTAATTTCATCATTAATACGTAAAAGTTGAATGGAGATAGAAAATTAATTCAATTTTCTACTTACTAATGCTTTTTCCGCATTTAATATAATAAAATAATAAAATTTTCCTTAATTAAAATATACTGCATGCGGCGAAAACTGTTCCAATTCCATTTTGGACTTATCGTCGACGCTATCTTGACGCACATTTTTTAAATCGCTTCTGAAAATATTTTGCTATTTAAGCTATTTTTCACAGTTTCACAAAAGGTAATTTTACTCCTGTTAATTGCAAAGCATTTTTGTTGAATTAAATATACATGTAAATTCGATATTTTGTACATTTTGGAAATAGTGTACTCTGTTTGATGGTTTGAGTGAGTGAAGGTTCTTTGTGGAATTTAATAAGATAATAGAGACGTGTTTATTATATTTTGTTAATCATAATATAAATGTGGAGTTGTTTAGAATAGTGTGTTTTATTTTAAATTTGCGAAAAAAATATACTTTACACTGAAAACAAATAAAATTTAGATATAGAAAAAGTATTAATCAAAATAATCTGCATATGTTACTGAATCACGATACTGTTCAAAATCATTTATAATAAATTGTTTAAATGGTGTCTGTAATTATGATTAGCCTTTAATATTGCACAGTGAATAAATTTAATAATAATAAACAATCATCGAACGTGCCATAAAAACGTAACATAGTTTTACCATGGAGGCAACAGCCACAGTATTAGCCCGAAAGTTGTTTCCTCAAAATGTAACTTTTGTCATTCTATCATAGCGAAGGAATTCCGGTAATCAAAACCTTACCGGAATCGGTTCTGTTGTATCCGCCACTGAAAAGAGAATACTGATAATGGTCATGTATTAACGTATAATAAAAATATTTGGAATACATTAGTTACATTTAATTCAAGTTATTATTATTAATTGAGTTATAAACCAGAGTTCGTATTTGCGTACCCATGAGCGGCTCATTTTGGCTCATTCTGCTCACGGCTCATGTGCCGGCAAAAAACTCTTTTCATACGATGGCTCACCCTCACGAGCGAGCCCAACTACAGAGCTCACGCTCACGAGCAAGAGCCGCCATTAAGTTATAAATGGGCTCACACTCGTGAGCAAGAGTATGAGCTGCGGCTCATGAGATCTCATGCGCCCAATTTAAGATTTTATTATTATTTTTTTTTGTGAAAACATGTCATTAAAAAGGATTTAAAATATTAATAACTTTGAACTAACTAAAATATGGAAATAATCAAATTCCTAAAATAAACAATAAATATATTTTTATTGTTTATTTGTGGAAAATAATATTTTATAAATTTGTTTTTCAAAATCAAATTATTGTTTCATTATATTATTTTAATATAAAATTATATATTTTCACATATAACGTTTATAAAAACAAATATAGCAAATAAACTAATAAATCGCTTTTTATTAAACAGTTGAGCTCGTGAGCTCTCGGCTCGTGAGACCTCATGAGCAGCTCTTCAATATGAGCAACTTGAAGGCTCTCGCTGGTGAGCAGTTCTTTAATATGAGCCAATTATGGGCTCACGCTCATGAGCCAATTTTGGGCTCACATAAGAATTGGCTCTTTCTCATGAGCCTGAGCTGCTCATGAGTGAGCAAATACGAACCCTGTTGTAAACAGCTCATAAATTACGTATAAGTAGCTTTTTTGTTAAAACCATCGTTAGTATAATTAAGATACATATGTTTTGATGCATATCATCAAAATTATCACATTTTTTAATTATTGCTAAAAGATAAATATATTGCTTATAGAGCAAATGTATTAAAATAAAACAAAAATTGCTTAACTGATTGCTATGACCATGACTACGAAAAAGCACAATGAAAATGCAACAGCGAAAACGAATAGTTTCATTAACTATGCTTACAACAGAGCATGATCATTAATCGAAGCCGACAGCTATAGTTGATTTAAGATATTTGAATATTGACTACGGCAATCAAAGCAATTGTGCTGGCAGTTGTCTCATTAACTATGCTTATGACTGTGCACGATCTCAAACTCGAAGTCGACAATAATAGTCGATTTGAAATATTTGAGTATTAACTACGGCAGTCAAAGCAACTGTGCTGGCGGTCGAAGCAATAATTAATGTAAAGGCTGCAAGTAATCTTTATTTTTTTAAAAAAAAGAAAAAAATAAAAATCATCAGTTGATATATTTTCTACTATGTATACATAGTAGAAAAAGTCTGCAAATTTTTTTTACTGAAATTGATTTCTGTTTTTTGATTTATTTTATTTTTGTGGTAGTTTTCGAAGTTGCCTGGGAGCAAGCCACGATCCCTGCTGTATGCTTAGGATCATGCTCCTGAGGATCAAAAAACTTGCCTCAAGCGCTAACATTCTGGAACTTTTTTTTAAATTTATTTTTAGAACATTCAGATACTCAAATTTGTTCGTGTATTTTGTATAAATTCAAGTTTACCGGCACCATTACTTACCAAAACATTATGCCTTCACCACCATGTTTCATCGTTGAAATTAAGTTTTGTTTTTTATAGGCTGTACATGGTTTTCTTCACACAAGTTTTCTATATGCAGAATTAACTCTCATCGGAGAAAATAATTCTTTTTCAGAACTCCATACATTGTTTATATGCTTTTTTGCAAAGCTTAATCGATATTATCTGTTTCTGGATTGTAAGGATGGAAATTTTAACTAATTTCCAACCTACATACAATCAGTGTGGAGTTAATATCTACAATGAAAACTGTTTAATTTTTATTGTTAATTTAAAACGTAAATAATTTACCATAAACCCACCCCCGCATGCACATAACTGCACCAAATGAATAAACCTAGGATTACATTAAAAATTCAAGGAATATAAAATATATTTAAACAAATAAATAATACACTCACCTTATTTATTATTTATATTAATATTTTGAATATTTGTAATATTTATGTATTTATTAATAAATAAATATAAATAATAAACCACACACACCGGCACTATATAGAAAATAAAAATAAAAAAACACGTTTGTAAACAAGACAAAGCATGAAAGCTTTGGTTGAACTAAATACAAAGCACGACGAATTCAAGAACACAAGAAAACATAAAGCCTAGAAATTACACCCAGGCGAACAACAGCAGCAAAAGCCAACAAGTATCAAAAATACCAACGGCAAATGTACCGATGCGCTACAGGAAAAGCTTCGGTCGTTTGAGTATAATAAGCGCACATTGTACAAGCAAGGGCACTTGTTGGGAAACTCTCAAAGGTAGTAATACGTCTTTGTGAAACAAGTCAGTAGAACAATAGCGTCAAGGTAGTATATACGTCTTGACAAGTAGATTGTATATGTAGTCTTAAATGTAAATCAAGCCAAGGTAGTCATGATACATCTTGACTAACACTTCGTTCAATAATATGTGTGACTGACACATAGATGGCGGCAGTAATACTAAATAAATATTTTTTTTCGAAAGTGGCAACCTTTTTAGGCTTACTGTCAAAATCATATGTTAATCCGACCATTTGTTTACAAGTTACACTGCTTTAAGTGACGCTACTTTTGATTTAAAAAAAAAAAAATGAATTCAAAGCAATTCCGTGTGCTGATTTATCATTGTTTTTTAATGAAAAAAAATACTGTTCAATGCCAGGAATTTCTGGAAAAACATTATTCGGACTCTGCTCCATCAAAAAGAAGCATTTGTTATTGGTATGCCGAATTCAAACGTGGTCGTACAGATACCGATGACATTCCATCTACTGGACGGCCAAATTACGCTGTTATGTTATTCCAGAAAACGTTGAAAAAACACTGAAAATCATTATGTCGGACCGTAAAGTGAAAGTGAGGGAGATTGCTGACATTCTTCAGATATCAGCAGGCAGTGTACACACCATAATTCACCATAATTCAACTGATAATTAATATCATTTAATTGCATAATTATGTTCGCAAGTGAATTTAAATCTAAATATTAAGAAGTGGACGCAGATTTTTCTTCAAAAATTGTTGCTTTTGCCTGTAATGGTGTTGAATTATTATTTTAAAGTGTAAATTTTTTATGTTTGAAGTTATTGTTGTTTTTTTGGTTAAAACGAATGAGAAAACAATTTTAGTAAAAATTAAATAAGTTATGCAAAATTTAAGAGAAATTTTGTGGGATGATATAAACTTTTTCTACTATGTGTAGGTATTTACATTAAAAATTACAGTATACTATCATTTAGTAATTTTTTAATTTATTTAGTAATTAACATTGCTTTGCATTGTATTGTAATTAATAACTATACATAAAAAACAGATATACACATTTTGCTACGTGCCGATTATACGCAATATCAAATGAAGTATACATATTCGTACATTCTTGCAGTCATTTACAATCTTTACATTAACTATTGATTCGCTGCCAGCACAGTTGCTTTGACTAGGTAGTTAATAGTCAAATATGTTAAATCGACTATTGCCTTGACTGCCAGCACAGTTGCTCTGATTTTGTATTATTGTATTTATTATTATTATATATTATTATACATTATTATATATTATTATATATTATTATAATTATATATTATTATTATATTTATTTATTTGTACTATTTAAAAATATTTATAATTATTGTTTAAGTTTTAATTGTAGACTGGATATGGCTGTTATAACATCGTCAAAGGAATCATTATCACAAGCTTTACAAAATCGAATAATACCTAATCAAGAGTACTTACTACAAGGATCTGTTTTAGATTCTACTGTCGAACATTTGAAACAAAGGTAATACAATACACTACACATACATTTTATATAAATTTTTATATAGAGTAATATTTCCAAAAATGAATTGATTTCCACACACTTAGTTGCGTTAAAATTTAATCTTTTACTTACAAAAAAAAATTTTTTATATCAACTTGTTTTTTATTCGTAATGACAATTTGCACAGTGGTTAAAGACTCAAACTGTGCTATTCTGGTAACTATCATTGATTATTTTCCATAGTCATAGTTAAGAGTATGGTTCGATTAAGCTGTTTTGTTATATTTGCAATATTTGAAAAAGTTTTTTAAGTCTTGTGACAATTTTATGAGAAAAAAATAAAAAGTCATAGCACAGGTGAATAAAAAAATTATAATGATATAATAGAATAAACAAATAAGTAAAAACATTAAACAAAAAAGTTAAACAATTTTCCATTAATAAAAAAAATTATTTTACTTATAATTATATTTTTTGCTCATGGTTATTACGAACAATTGTTAACAACTTTTCAGAATACGCCATTTAGCGTAAATTTTATACAATCGAGCAGTTTTTGGATGCTAGCGCCTAGAAGCTATGTACTGAACAACCAATCTGATTCATTCAATGTTGTTTTCGTTTTTTCAACATTTCCGTCACCGGTTTTATCATTTGGTGCACGCACGGCTCAAAGCGTCTTCGTGATCTATTTTCTAAACTATAAACTATATGCGTTAAACTTTGACAGAATGTGTATTATTATACAGTGAGAAAATTGCCAGTGAGAAAATAAAAAAATTTACCGATTGAATAAGCGCGGGAATCACAGTTCACGTGAATAAGTTTTTTTTTGATCACAAGGTATACGTTATAATTTCTTTCTAAAACTCGCATTTATTTACACTAAATAGTCCCATATTTTGTAGTACAGAGTAAACACGTTTGAATTTATCAATAATCTCCAATTGAATTACTGCCAGTCTATACGTCACCAATGTGGCAAATCATCTTGTTTTTTTTTCAAGGGTTTTTTTTTCCCTTTAGATGTTAAAATATAATTGGTGAATTTTTAACCTGGACAGCATAATCGCTCTTAAGATTTTTTACAGCAAAGAATATATTTTGTGTTGCTTCATACATACGATCTTTAATTAGGTAGTGGGAAATTTTGATTTTGGATAAACTTATTTCAATAAACTTAACTTTACATAACACTACTTTAGTTTATAAATAATTAAATGCTTTGTTTTCCAAGAGACTTACATTTTTTACGTAGAACTCGAAAATCATAACGATTTTTTTTCCTGTGTAATATAATAAAAGTAATATACCATTTTGCAAATTTGTCTAATATAGTAGTTTTTATTAACAAATCAGAAAAATCATTTTTTCGAAACTTATTTATTGTTTTTATATTTATTTTAAAAAATGCTTTAAAGTGGTTTGGATTTTTAGGAAAGAAGAACAGCTGCGCTAAGTTACGTTATGTGTTTCCCTGTGGGCTACCTAGTGTAATGAACCTCCTTTTGTTGAGGGTGTCTATAGCTGGGATAGTTCAGCCACAGCCAGGGTCCTTACAAGAAAATTTATATATACTCGACTCTGAGTACTGGTTTACCTACCGATCATTTTCTATGGTCTCAATTTACAAACGACTTTTATTCAATTCAATTTGTTCTTTTCTTTTATTGATTGTATGACTATTAAATTATTTAATTATATCTTATTTCAAAAACTAGCAATAACTAATAAACTATTATATTATATACCGAACAACTAAGGTAGCAATAATAATAAAAAAAATACAATATCTGTCTTAATTCAACGCACAGGGTAAAATTTTAAACGCAGCATTGATTCGCTGTACTATAATGATTTGCAGCCGGAGCTTTATAGTTTCAAAGCCCAGTATAATAATTTCAACGTAGTATGGATTCGATGTACTATAATAATTTTCAGCCGGAGCTATATAATATCAAAGCACAGTATAATATTTTCAACGTAGCGTGGGTTCGATGCACCATAAAGATTTTCAGCCGGAGGTACATAATTTTAAAGCACACTATTATATTTTCAACGTAACGTGGATTCGATGCACCATAAAGATTTTCAGCCGGAGCTATGTAATTTCAAAGCACAGTATTATATTTTCAACGTAACGTTGATTCGATGCACCACAAGGATTTTCAGCCGGAGCTATGTAAGTTCAAAGCACAGTATTATATTTTCAACGCAGCATGCCTCCGCTGCACTATAATGATTTGCAACCGGAGCTATATTTAAAGCACGAGATCAAAAAAACTACCAAATGCTTACCATTTTCCTGGTTACTCACGTGTAGCTGCAGGTGATACTATATTCTTGTGTAAGTGCGTACCTTTTGTGCAGGATGTCCATAGAGTACTTGTAGAAGCCCTCTATGTACTTCCTTTATCTAACAACTGTTAAAGCTCTCAGACTGGTACACTACATCTCACCTATAGTTTACACCGATCCCACGTTGAAAGGCACTACGAGTGACTTGTTGTCCAACTATGTCATCCACCACTCCGTCACCAGAACCCGATCTGTACTGTCCAATGATGGTCAAAAGAAGAGAACGATTTTAGAAAAATATGTCTTTTTATCTAATCTTGGTGATCTTGTGATGCATTTTTTTACATGTAAGGATTGTTTTTGCATGTTTACAGATTGTGCACATGCTTATTATTTTCAAATCTTTATGTGCAAGCATTGTTTTTAGCTGTTTACTGCTTGTGCAACTTTTTTTTGCAAAATTGTTTTTGGCTGTTTACTGCGGGTGCCCATGCTTATTATTTTGCAAATTTTATTTGCAAAATTGTTTTTGGCTGTTTACTGCTTGTGCCCATGCTGGTTATTTACACAAATAAGTTAGGGCCGCGTAGTATTATGTAACCCTATGATGGTTCTTATTATTTTTTAAATTAATTCAGTTAGTTCAAAGTTTAAACTAAATTTAAATTTCATTTGTAATCAAAGTTGTTTCACAAAACAAATTTTTATATCAAGGTAGTTCATATTATTTTTTAAATTATGGATCCGCACTACTCCGCAGCGAGAAACTAAAAAACTACTCCACTAAGCAACTTCCCGTGACAACTCCCAAAACCAACTGAACTATTCTAACCTTCCCACCCATGTTTTCACCTTTGGGAAACAGTGAAAACATTGTTACGCAGAAAAATAGAAGTGAAATATTGACTTAGCTACCTGTTTTGCATAAAGAACTGGGTATAGAATTCAATGGTTGAACCAAAGAATCTATAGTACAATGAAGTGCCACGCTCATACAAACGAAATACCCACTTTATTTTGCTGGTGGATTTATAATAAATCCACCCAACCTCATGCAACAATGTTCGATCGAGTCACAACTGGTATGATGTTCAGTTCAAACCTATATGTAAGTCAAGTAAGGCTGACGAAAGCCCGACTACACACGTATTCAATGATACATGCAACCCTCTGTATTATAATATACGCATGTTTGTATGTTTGTTCTCTGTAAAATGTTCAAGCGATCAAACAGCATTTCAGTGACGAAATCAAAATTGTGTACATTTGATAAGTTATTGAATTTAATAGTATATGAAACAAAATCACCTGTTTGCTAATGGTATGAATTGTAGTGTAAAAACACATTACAAATTTATTTATGTCTCAAAGCTGATTTTTTCCATTCTATGGTGCTTTATTCTTAAATGTTGTCCATGCGCAATGTTTCGGAAGCAATATCGTAAACACCAATTTTAACATTGTCTTTTCAAACACTTTTATATGAATTTTGCAAATGTTAAAAAATGAAGTTGTTGGTGCACACAAGCTTCCAAAATCGCTGTTAAGCTTATAATTTTTGGTGTGTATAAACATCTCTGATGGATAAGACAAAATTTCATTAGATTTGATTGTGTTCATTCGGCATTTTTGACATTTTTGACGACGTGCAATGTAACCAATAAAATATCGACTAGAAGTCAATTCAATAGGAATTCTATCTGAATAGAATGAGTCTGCTTCTTCATTGAAGTACGCTTCATTGTCTCCACAAACGTCCTCCGCAGTTAATACAACGTGTTCGCTATTAGGAATTTCGGTATGTACTCCATGCAAACTGCGAATATTATCTAGCATTGAGCAAAAATCTAATTCCAGCATAACATCTTCATCTTCTAAGCAATTTGATTGCGAGTTGAACTGATACAATTTTTAAGACAATAGCTTTGCCACAATTATATTAAACTCGTATATACGAAAATGTATTTTCTAATGGATCTTGGTTAAAGCGGCTAGTTAAAATAACGGAAATGTTTGTATTTTCTGTAAACAAGTCGTTTGCCAAAGACAATATACCATTTATCGTTTGAATTAATCCATCAACGCAAAATACTTTGCTACCTTTATATTGAAGGTTTTTAATATACTCTTTAAAGTCCAAAAGCTCTTTCCAAACACAATTTTCGAATCTTAACCCACGTTTCAATGGCTTGGGATCACTAAATGTTTTACTGCTGAGGGCATCAAAACAGTTGTCAATGATATCAATAAATGCTGCCGTATTGACTGTGACTAGGAATCATTTCTATGGAATTGTTTATTTATAGTTGCGGATTTAATTGCTGCTGCGACAGTATGACTCAGAGTTTGAGCAGCAAGCCTCACTCGCATTTTTTCGAAATTAGTAGGTGCAATATGAGCTATTGTCAATTTCGTCATTTTCGTTACATTTTCCTGTTCTAACTCAAACAATTCTCTTATTACATCAAATTTAATTTTGCCATCAGCTGTTTCAAAATCTGCCTTTATTAATGCATTTCTTATGGATTTTGTTAAATGTGGTACATCATATAAAAGATAAATTTTTGCATTCTTATGAATAAAGTACGGTCTTTTCACTGAAACATTCAATAACTTATAGCAATGTCGATTTTTTGGACCTTGATCACATGTTATTCAACGTACTTTTAATCCCAATTTCTCTGCACAGTCTAAATTATTCTGTAATAATTGTCGTAGTGATGGCCCTTTGATTAAATTATTCATTACAACATAATTCAGAATCAATTTCCAATTTTTTATGAGCCCCCCAACATAAAAACGCAAATATGTGTACCTATCTCATCTGTCCGTTTATTTCCTAAATCAACCAGCCCACAAATTACATCTGCAGAGGCATTGTAAGTTAAATTTTTTTTTATAGCAATTTCATCAAATATTAAAATGCAATTCTTTTCAATTGAATCCAATTTGAGGACTGTTATTTTAAGCACTGTATAAATACAAATATTATGTCCATGCTGTAAACTTTTTATTTCATTCCATCTCCGAAGGGATGAAGGACTGGGAAAATTTAACTTTAACGTGTTTCTCAGTAATAAATACATAGCAGTGGACTTATAATAAATAATTTGAGCAATATGCCGTTCATTCAAATTTCGGACAGCTGTAGCTCCTCGATTAGGTTTAATCAGCATTTTAGAGAGCACTTTTTCATTATCAGTAATATCCATTTTATCAATCAATTCATTTACTGACAATTTTGGTTTTAATTGCCTTTTGAACTTAATTACTAAGTTCTTCAAAGCCTTATTTTCTCCTTTTAAACGACGATTTAATTCAGATTTTTTTATTAGTTTTTTCCGTAATAAAAGATTCTTGTTTTGATAAAATTTAACGTTTTTAATATTATGAAAACAACTGCCACACAAAGATGGAGGTGATTCTGATCTCATCCGTTTTCGAATTGGGGATAATAGAATTGATATGTCGATATCATCTTCAGTTTTCCGTTCATTATCGGTTTTATCGTAATTCTGTAAGCATAACGACGTAACAGCTCCTCGCTTAAGATTCTTTTTTCCAATAACTTCAGCAGAAAAATGATTACTACATAAATACAATGAGGTGTTGTTTTCAACAAATTATTCACTTAATTTACATTTGTCTGCCCACTCCTTAAAAATAGGCGAATCATAGTTTGGAAACTTAAATAGTTTTAAATCGGGAAAATTTCTTTTGGATCTCTTACAATGAGATAAACAACACTTATTACCCGCAATCGTTTTACGATTCATTTTAGAGAGTTTAAACTTTTTGAACAAATCAAAGTAAGTACAAATAAATTTTAAATGTCTAATATAAATGTATATGGACACCAAAAAACTGTATAATGTTTATATAAACTTTTAATATTTTTTTGTTTTTAAGAATTGTAACAGACTTTACAAAACACGTCTTATTTAAAATAATATTTTTTAAAATAATTACAAAAATTCAAACTTAAGAAGTAGTTCCTTTTGAGGTAAAATATATGCACAAATGTGCAATAAAAACATACATATTTATATACTGCAGACTTAATGTCTCCAATATCACATTTGTACATACGTAATGGTTTTTGTAGTGCATCATTTTTTGCAATAAAAAAATAAATATGTTCTATTACTCATTACTCCTAAGATATGGGCCTTTCCAGTACAAGAAAATAAAGCAACAAAGTATATGAAAAAACTGTTTCAGGGACTTCTTTACCATTCACTTCGCTACTAATCAGTTTATATTAATAAAATAGAAAAATAAAAACAAGAAAGACAAAAGAAACAGGCGTATAAAAACAATTGTGGGTTGCACTGAGTTTGAACTGAACATCATACCAGTTGTGACTCGATCGAACATTGTTGCATGAGGTTGGGTGGATTTATTATAAATCCACCAGCAAAATAAAGTGGGTATTTCGTTTGTATGAGCGTGGCACTTCTTTGTACTATAGATTCTTTGGTTGAACTCAATATTAATTTACAACTGCTGATAAAATGCAGTTTCGCATATATTGAAAATTGAGTTAAATGGTTGAACTCAATAATATTTTACAACAAACGCTTCCGCGTTGTATGCAGAAAATTATTAAAAATAAAATGGGTCATATCAACAATTTGCATTACGTACTAAGAAAAAGGTTCGTAAAAAATTGTTTATAAAATTCTAAGAATCTAATTGAAACCAGATACACAACAAAAGGAATAAAAACCAGGGTTCAGAAAAATACTATGCTGTGCACAAAAATGCAAAACACCACGCACAAATGTTGTGCGCATCTAAATAAAATTTTACACCACGAATGTGGTGTGCGAAAATTTTATTCACAAAGAAAAGTGCACATCTTGTGTGCACAAACAAAATACACTTTTCAAACGAATATGGTGGATTGAAATAAAACTCGCACACTTATTCGGTGTTTGTGCCGAAGTTATTTCGCACAGCACATTGTGTGTGAGGCAGCCAGTTTGCACTTGCACACAACGTGTACAGAAAAGAATACGAGGACCACATTTTGTGTACAGACTCGGAAATAAAAATGCACCCAAATGTGCGGAGACGAAATGTCTACTGCACATTTGTGTGAAATGATGTTTTAAAAGCGAACAATATTATAACAAATATCGCAGCAAAATAGTACGGAAAACTGATTTGTATTAATTTTAGTCCTAATGCGAAATATTTTATTGAAGAAATGATTTTCTATTTATATTTTAATTTTGAATTTATTATTAGATATATTGCTTATATTACTTATTATTTTAAGGATTATTAATTTAAAGCGTGTGAATAAAGATTAATATTACTATGCAATTAAAAACTTTGTTATAATATAAAATATAAAGGGTTTATGAATTAGGAATTGAATAGAATTAAATGAATTTGATAGAGAAAGGGTATTTGTTTTGAAGTGTTATAAGTAAAGGGGATCAGTACTACGAATCTTACTTTGAAATACAATTGATTTAAAACAATTTAATTTGTTTAGTGTTATTTCTTTAAAAATGTTGTGCATTATTGAAGATAAAGATATTAATTAAAAGTTTCCAAATTCATTAATACCACCGCACAAATTGAAAATATGGAGTAGCGAAGAAAGAATACAGTTCTGTAACGAACCTTTCTGGCCGGGGTTTTGCTCGCCGGATTCCAGGTCCAGTCCTACAATAAATTTATTTGATAGGAGCACTGGAAAGTTTGC